TCGATATATTCATGAATTTTGTGATTTCGATTATGACTAAGACGAAATTTTCGGATTAAGGACACTTATCTGGTTTTAACACCAGACTATTTAGTTAAGTCGAAAGTTCAATTAGCTTCTTAGAAAATAGAAAGCAAGTCTTGAAATTCGAAACCGCCCTAGAAAATTGATAAACGTAACAAGTTTCGGAGTTCTTCGAAAACTTTGGACGGACTCAAACAAGCACTTGTGAGAGAAGAGAGCTTCACAGTGAAAACTCACCATTTGAAAAGGACAAAGGATCGACGTAAAGGTAGTAATAGTAGAAAAAGCTCATAGAAAAGTGTTACCTTGTGTTCAAGAGGTTGGTCAACCAAACCAGACCCCCGGTGAGTCGGCCTCAACTCTTTCGGGTCGCATGATTGCCTTAGGTGAACTTAAGGGCTACAGATTGACCCACCTTTCTTGTACATAGCTTGAGGTTAACTATAGTCATCGGTGGCGCTTCAGTAACCTGCAGTAATCACAGAAATGTATAGTCAGATGCATTAGCCGGTAAGCACTTCTCGCTTTATAGCCATAGGGATTTTTTTGTTTTCTCTCTTTAACCTCTCGTCTTCAACTACTAACAGACTTGTTGGCTGATTGAAAAGATCCATAATGTGCGGTCTGCGAGATCAACATACTTGCAGTTGGCGAACTCTCAACAGGTATGTCGAGTACACTCTCATCTTGATTTAACCTCCCTTCCAGACTACCAACTGATTTCTTAATCCTCCACCCTCCTTTCTTCGTTGAGGTCACCCATCGTCTGAAAGGACTGATCGATTGGAAAGATAAACGGTGAGACCAACAAAGTCGTAGGGATCCGTTGCTTTGTTCTAACACTTCATATTTATTTTGAAACCGACTTTCCTTGGACATCGGTGTGACTAATCAACATGTATTCTTTCTTTGATGAGCTTACACGAGGTTGATAATGATATTTATTTATTTTCGGCTAACGTTTCGATGTCTTCGTCTTTCTCAGAGCCGATGGTCCGAGTCGATGGTCCACGTTTGTTATTCGTCTCGACGTGGCAGCTTCGCCTTCGTATCGAGTCAGGTCTTCCTCAACGGGCCATCTCCTCGAATGAGGCATGTTCACTCGGTGATGCCGTTTTATGCAGCATATTTATTTCATTGTTTTCCTGTTACTATATGTTTACTACGTGTTGTGCACTGTTATAGTTATAGTCTCTTCAATTGTTCTTGGTATGTAATTGTTTCCACACACATCTGTCTAAATATTCTGTGATTTTTCTACTTTGGTAAGGCCAACACCTCACGTAACCTGCATCTCTTCATCCACCAGAGAACTTGGCTGGTTTTCCTACTTCTCTTTCCTTTTGCTTTTTGCTTTTTTGCGTCATTTGTCTTCATTTAAATGTTTTCGTTCCTAAACTGTTATATTTCCAGCAATCTCACTCCTAAACAGTCTTGTAGTGGCAACGGTAGTCCACCGAGCGGAAGCATCGCAATTGTTGAACATTGTTCCCGTACGCCAACCCACTTCACGTGGACGTGGAGAGCCGGCCAATGGTAATGCATAGGTAGGGCTCACTGTCTTATTACTAACCTCTCGTTTTCATGTTACAGGGTATTCCAAATTGTGGTAGGTTTCTGATCTTAACTACAGCCATGTTATTGGTATTGGTATTTGTACAAAAGAAGCAACAATATTTTTAATTACTAACGTCCATAAATCTTTATTACCTCGGCATGTGTAATCATTATTTCGCCTATTCAGGAACTTGCGAGAGATAGATATGAGATTTCTTTCGTGGCTGACATTTCAGTGCAAGCGCTCCCCAGAGCTGCAGTGGTCCATGTCCGCTATTCACAGCTTTTCTGTATCTTTTGGAAATCTGTGAGTAGAACAAAGTAAATGGTAGCAGTCATCTTTGGATCCTTAACTCTAGTCATGACCCTTTACTCATCCTTTATTTGTTAACGAAACCTGTTTGAAAACAGCTGCGTCAATGTTTCCTTTGAATTCTACGTTCCGATAGTGAGGCGTTGCATGCTTTTAAGATCTTCATATGCTTGTTTATTGTTACTAGTTCTTCAACAGCTTAACTGTATAGAGTTCTTGTGTGGCTGGAATTGAACTCGACAGAGCCTTCGATGTACGCTGGCTGGTTAGTGGTGGAGACGCTTCTGAAGAAATTGCTGAGGAGCAAGCGTTTCGTGAGGTAAGCAGAGAATTTGCTGACTTTGCGGTAAGTACTTTGTGTTACTTTATTGACCGGTTTTTTGTTTTCATTCTTGTTCCATATTTACCGTTTTTCGTGCCTACTGAACCATCGATGTTTCCAGAGCTGATAGTCGCCTTGAGTCAGCTGGCGTTCCATACTGGTTATGAAGGGGGAGACCTGGAGGACTATGTGACACGTTGGTGTCAACAGAACTAGTAAGTATTTCGCTCTTTCCTTTCGATTGTTTTTGTGAATATTTTCTTCTTCGTAATTTGAGTGTATGAGACCTTTTCCACGTATAGCCCTTGTATTTTATATGTTCATGGGGAATCTATTGCGACTACCACTACGTAATCTGGTTCAGCAACTTTAAGACACAAGTGTCAGTAGGCTATTGGTGTTTTCGGATTGTTCATTGTCCATTGTATATTGCATGTCGTGAAGCCATTTTTGTTTATGTTGTGGTTTGTCAAATAAATGTTCTTACACTCTTATTGTTATGTGACTTCATTCATTCTCTTGTAGAGCCCCGATACCAAACACCACCTAACTTTGGTTAGAAAATCCTGCGTTTTATAGGCACAGAATAAGACTTGGAATGTTGGGGGAGAAACTATTTGTCCCCTTGGGAGGGTAGGATGCAATGGGGCAATAGACCAGCAAAGATCCATAGATTCTAGTGTACTTGGCTCTGAGCTGAAATATGTTCGTATGAAATTGGGACACTAAGTTACTTCCAGTCATCTATGAGTCATATTGGACCGATTTTATCATGTGGTAGTCACAACTACATCGCTTCAAAGTTCGAAGTACTAAGTAAGTGAAAGACAAAAGTCGCACTAATTATTGCTGTTTAGGGGTTTTATATACTCTAAGGGTTATTCCAACAATTGAAAGCACTTGGGAATTTCCTTAGATGAAAAGGGTAGGTTATGTCCACACCGAGAGGAACGAAATAACAGCAGACCAAGAGCTGCATGCGACTTAGAAATAAAGGCAATGCCAAGAGCATTGTGTTCATGAGCTCACGCAAGACTCGTAGCATAATCAAAAAGTTTCAGCCCATCAGGATCACAGAGATTCAGTATAGTGACAAGTACTAGCATCGACTAGAAGATGATTATGGGATTTGTCAATTAATGATGGTAATTGGTGTCGGCCGTTTTATTATTGCTAACCTTCTGAGTAGTGAGAGTTCCAGCATCGTCTCAACATTGAACATTTTTGGAATTCAGTGGTGCTAAACGTGAAGTTTGTTGGCGCAGTGCTAATTTGTTCAGAGCTTAAGTTCACCCATTACGAGCTTTAAGAACTCGAGAACGACACAAGCTCTTCGTTACGCATTGATTCCACTCTTGAAGCCCGAAAAAAAATTAAGTGTTTCTACTTCAAACAAATATTTCTCAGCTCGCAGCGGATTTCATTAAATCAAATAAAACCAAAATCTTTTATATTTGCAAAACTCGGGTACGCAGGTGTCCGCGGCTGGAACCTCATTACCCTTCTATTAAGTGATTGTTATTCGGTATCTTCTTGTGATCGACAACGTTCACAGAACGGAACGCCATTATTCCTTCAAATCTGCAATATTTGCGACCGTTCTTACTAAAATTTGCTTTGATCAACATCCGTCGTTGGCGCTACAGTTCCTAGTGCTTTCTGTCGATATCATGAAAATGTCCCTTTGTTGTAAAGGTCTCGTCTCGATTCATGGATTCATACTTCGTCTTTCTATTCGCCATAGCCAAAAAATTCATCGTGAGTTTTCCTAATGCATACTTACGTCTGGAGATTCTAAATGGTAAATTGCAGACGTAGGAAGCAAATCCGTTGCAATAAATATTCCCTGTTGAATTAATCTCGCCCAATAAGCAGGATGAAAACGTGCTCCATTATAACAGTCGATGACCAGTTGAAGATGCACGGTCTCGTCGCGCTCAACGGTTTCTACTGTAGTTTGTAGCCACCTAGGGCGTCTGGCGGTAGCTTCCATGCCGGCTCTTTATATTTCTTATTGTTTTATTTCGAAGTAATGTTTAAAGGCTGTTCTTCACGTTATTTTTCTTCGTGATAAGCGCGCTTTCTTGTAATATTTTAGAAACTTTCCACAATCTTGGATACCCCCAAGTTTCCGGGTTGGTTGTTCCCTTACTGAAGAACTTCAGTTTCTTTACCAGCTATCTTATTGAATTTCTCGTTTTTCACACATTGTTTCCTGACATCCTTATTTTTACAAGATTCCCCGGCGACATCGGGCATCAATCTAGATGGCTGTCGAATTCCTTCCTAGTTTTACACATATGTGGGCGATGTTATTCGCCATTTTAACTTGATACTTATTTGATACTTGAGCGACCCGTCCTCATTAGTTGTGCGGGCCCCAGCATAATCACCATTTTTCGGAGATTTGCTGGTTAAGCTATTGTAGTTCTGTGGAAACTCGAAGACAGCCTGGCCAGTCTATCCCAGGTCGTCACCACGACAGATTGTCACAGCCCTTGTGGATCAGAAGGTGACTTACCACCATGCGACTTTGATACCAAGACAGTGGTGGATCCTGGTATTGGTTTACTTTTAACTAGGTTTCCTGATGGAAACGCCGGACTCCTCAGCTTGGGAGGCCCTGGGGGGGGGGCGATTCCCTCCGCCGTACATCGCAGTCCGCAACACCCAGCGACACCTTCCAGCCACGATGAGGCGGTAAATCGTTGAGAGTATTGGCCATTTTAAACGTTTAACAATTTGAGAAAATACTCGCATTTCTCAGGTATTGCTGTTTTCAGTATGTCTAATCAACTCACTGGTCCAAGAGAGCATGTGGAGGGCAACGAAGCTCACTGGAGCTACAACGAACATGTTGGTCCCAGCCGTAGTACAGAGTTTGCCGGAAATCTAGACTTTAGGGAGTATGTGGTGGCAGATGGGAACGACTGGTTGCACCCCCTGTCAGACGTTGTGTACGAGGATGTATGTCAATTTCAAGATCTTCAGGATATTAAAAACGTTTGTTCATGGATTTTCAGGTTTTTTTCAAATGTTATCGTGTTAATGCAAAAGTGCTCATTGCAGCAGTTGGACCATACTGAAGAAAGTGATTTTCTTCCTGATGGGGAAGCGTATCTGGAGCCACAGAGGATTTTCTTTAAAAGTCTGCAAGTAGTAGCTGATGAAGCTGTAGTGGATGTCATCCCAGAAAATACTGTACGGCCTCAGCAGTGTTTCTCTTCTTTCCATCGAGATTCCCCACAGCAGTGTGTACGGTCAAATTCCGACCACGTCAGACAGACAGGACGTTCTCGCCAAGTAGAAACAGTTCCGGGTACTAATGCAGTGCATTACATCGTACAAAATACCTCATTGACCTTTGAAACAGAGTCGAGTCATCATGTGCAGTACGAAGTCGGACCGTCGACACCGTTCAGACGACCATTAGATCAATGCGAAGGTGCACTTCCTCCACATCATGTTCCAATTTTACGGTCAAGTTCGAAATCGCAACCACGTCGACCATTACTTTGGGAATTGGACGATGATTCTCTCGCTTATCCCGTGCAGGTTTGTTGGTCCATTAAATGGTGATAGTTTCAGATTAAAAATGATCGTTTTGTTCATGTTATTACCATTGCTTCACAGGAATATGATGATGATTGCAAATATGATGGCATTGAACAAGAAGACTATGACAACTTTACTGAAGCTCCAGACGGAAACACGGGTGATCTGTTCGCAGATGAGTGGCAAGAGCAGTCAAATTTACGACCGCTGAGAACCATCCAGCGATGTGAGTTATGATGGAAATAATGCTATTAAAGCTTACTAATTGAAAGCATGGTCGTAGCTGTTAACACTTCACCTGCTGAAACACAAAATTCTATATTCAAATTTCTACCTTAGTATATCGTGTAGGTTAGCTGTTAGCTTCTACAGCAGTTTTTTAACGATGCTCTATAACTTATGCCACTTGGTAGAGTTTTCGCGACGTTCTCCCGTGCCAACTGAATATAAACGACTTGTCAGAATGTAATCACTTTTTGTTAACTGCCTGTTCTTCTGAGTAGTGCCTAAGTTATTCTCTGGGTTGTCAGAGTATATCTCTTAATTCTCCGTCATCGGACGAAAAATTATTCGGGCAACTAGTGTTATGCTCTGAACATCATTGTTGTTCATTGTAGCTTTCTGAAATTAGTGCTAAGCAAGATGATACTCAGCAATCAAGCAGTTCGTCAAATATCGATTGCGTTGGGGCAGGAGGATGACCTCGATTTGAATTTACTTCGGATTTCTCGTATTAGATTGAAGACGTGACTGTGCTAATATTTTTATGAATAGCAATAGATTGAGGTCCTCATAAGCGTCTTTTTTATGGTTGGTTTGTTTGCACTTATTTTTACCTTTTTAGCGTATTTTCCGCCAAATCTCTCACCTGCACAGAAGATGGTATACCTGCTAGCCAACTATGAAAAAGCTTATGCTCGATACCTTCCATTTGCAAACATGGCGCTTCTGGAATCTGATACGAGATATAGGCCTGTGAAACCAGTCGCCAGTGATTTGTATCGCTTTCATTCTAGAGGAGCTCACATTCATGGATTCTTCCGCACTGTAATTGATTCAAGAGATCGTCCTCATCTTGGTTGGTTTCGCAGCGCGTTTTTTATTTTGAAATACTGGAATCAATGTGTGTAGTTAATTCTCGGGGATGTCCGAAGTGAGGTGTCCATAGAATTAGCTTGTGCATTTTATGTAGCACGAAATATACGATAACGTTCAGTCGTTTTCAAAGCTAACAGATTTGAACCAGAATTCCTTATCCATTCAGTGTCTTAAAGGAAATATGGACCATCCTTACTAGTGAACAGGAGACTCACCAAACTGCTTTATTTTTGTCGCAGTCTAATGAGCCATGTGAAAATGTGGTAAAATGTAGAAAATATTCCATTTGTTGTACTGCTATATAACTAGCGGCTCGATGTGTTATAGATCAAACTCGGTACATCCAGGATATACAGTTTGGAAAAGTATTCCCTTTGAATCCTGACTACGATCAGTAAGTGAATTTTGTTTTACTGTTATAGTTGACTTATTTCGAACATTTGTAAAGTGGAGTCGAAAAGTTTAGGTGGGATGATAGCATGCGCAGCGAGTTCCGGCAACTTTCGAATCGGTTAATGCAGATCTTTGAAAGAAAATGGTTGGTTTTTTGTTAGAGCACTTCATGCATTTTTGGCAGTAGAGCAAGCTTTAACTTCCATAGCTTCTATGCCAATGCTGGAAATGGCCATGGTCGAGCGCCAGTCGTTAGACGTGGACCGAAGCCTACTCAGAAACCTCCACCCGACTATGCTGAACAGCAAAAAATTCAATACGAAGTATAGTTCTTTCTTTTAACCCATATAGTGGTTTGGAGGCTGTAAAGTGCAACTTTACAGGGTGTCCCACGGGGTTTCCGACCAGTGAGATCTTCCGTTGTGAATCAGACGAAGTTATTTACAACACACTCTGCTTCTCATTCTTCGTTCACCCCTTTACAGTGTCAGGTTAGTGTAGCGGTTACTCTAAGATATGAACATTTTCATGTTTTTTTTTTGGTAATCTTAGGGGCCGGTATTGCAAGCATCGACAGATTCGCAATCATTCCTCCGTCGCAAGCCTGATGATTTTTGGAGGTATGCTACTTTTATATGTCAACGTTAACCCCGAGCAGTTTTCGTTTGTTGCTTTCTTCAGGTCGAAATAGATATCCTGTTGCTTTGTTTTTACTTCCTTGATCATAGTGACAATTTGGTGGAACCTTTTCGTTGTGTCATATGGTTGGCTCGACACTTTTAGGACATTGGGCCACAGGAAATCAGCAGCATCTGAAACGATACGTGCGCCTGCTACAGACGTTATGCGAAGCCTGGATGTGCTGATGGAGAATTCACCGAATAATACTACATCGTCAGATTCAGATCATTTTGATCATAGTTACCGTCAAAGGCATTCATCTAGGCGTCACGGAGCACCAACGTCTTATTACCCTCAAAGTGCTTCTATTCGAAGGGCGGTTACGCGAACAGTTGGCACAAATTTAATAGATGATCAGGGAAGTGCTTCTTCTGAACAAACTTTGGATTGTTTTCCTGTAGAAGGCACGCCTATATCCGCTTCTTCAACAGAAGTAGCTGATAGGAACCAGGTTGCGGTCCGTCAAATGAAGAAGTGCTCTTGGTCTTTGATGAGTAAGAGCCAATCCGAGTATTCGGATCAGTATAACTATACAAGAAATGTTCAAGAGAGCGTAGGGTCAAGTGTTACGACCACTCAGAAACCTCTGAAGAAGTTCAGCCTTGTGAGAGATGAGCATGGTCGGTTACGTCGACTTAAAAGATCGCAGGATGGAACATTTCTCACAAGAGGCCAACCCTATTAAAGTCGTACTTCTCAGCTGGGTCGGATTCCCGCAGAAACGAGATCAGATGCTGAAGTGCATAGGTCTCGATCTCTGAATGCCGGCACTTTCCGGTATGCGCGATGGATATCTGACAAACGAATGAAGATGAAGAGTAGCCAGGAACATCAATGGAGAAATTCAATGAGTTATTTATTATTTGGTCTCTAAAAGTGTTGCAGTTTCTTTCCGTTCATTTTTATCGAAATTTTGACCGTATAACGCGGTCGAAAACGAATAGTAAAAAGAAAAGCGCGCATGGTGACGGTATAGCTATCGTGGTACAATCATTATTTAGCAGCGCTGTGTCACTAGAATTACTTAGATGCGCATTGGTATTGTTATCGTTTTTAGGTAATTGGCTATAGATGTGTATTTTTTTTTCGCATGCTGTGCTATTATGATTCGATGGAATCTCCATTTTATGTAATTTCCCTTGGTTTAATTGAATTTTTTAAGTTATATGTGTTTTCTGACAAATTTTAAGGAATAGAATTTAAGATATCGGAACAGCAATATTCGGAAATCCACTTCTAAGAATACGTATGTGGTAAGAAGTAAGAACGCAGACCAAACCGCTTTAAATATAAACGAGATGTGGGGTCAGAAAAATGTTAACGAATGCAGAGTGCAACTCTATTTTCATAGAAGTTTATCAAGGGTACTTCGAGCATGAAAACGGGGAATGTCGCGAACGTCATTCAGCTATCAGTGGCGAAGGGTTTGGTAAAGACAAACATGTAAACTTGAGAACGTTCAGAGGAACTTCCATGCACACCTCTCAATTGCTTCGGAGCAGAGAAGAAAGTTTGAGAACCCAGATAGGTCCATGTAGTACAGAAATTCGAAGAGATCCAGCCGAGACGTGCGCTGAATGACGTAGACGGCTGCGATGTCTTATCGATAGTCCTAATTATTTTTATTTCTTACACATTTGTCACGCTTTTGTAAGTGAATTAGACGAAAAAAACCAAGAACGAAGTCCGAACTGCACCACGTTGGTAAAAAAATAACGTCTTACATGGAAACTATGGTGCTCATATTGAGTGAATCGGTAGGCTCCAGATGTTCTTTTACCGGAGCATCTATACACATTCGATAGCTAATCGAAAGCAAATCAAAAGAGTAGGGAGTAGGTCAGGAAATTCATTCCCAGCACTTCGAAAATTAAAGAAGTCACGCTGTGATACGGATTCATTTGGTGGCGATAAACTGTAAAATAACTTCGTGAAAAATGCAATATATGCAGTATAGTTGTTGTTGACATATTTACAAATGAGGTCAGGGAAGCTCTCGACATCAACAAAGCACTTGATCACTCACTTCTTTCTCTCGTTTTGTCACTGTTGCTTTTTAAAATAGTGCTCGACGGCACTTTATATCATATACTCAATTATATGAAAACCACTGAAAACCGTCACAATTTGCTTAAGTCGTCCATTTCATCTTTTAAGTTAGTGGTTAATATTGAACTATTCGTAATACGTTGACCATTGTGCAAGGATCTGGGGAGCTTTCTTCATTTCTTTCATTGTCTCACAAGAGTTGCTTCTTGGCAGAGGGAAGTTGGTCTTCAGCGCATTAATTATTTCGTCATCACTGACGTCTTGAAAGGATTCCTAATCGAACGTAATTTTCTGTCACATTACGAGAGGTGATCTTCACAAATATAGCTGGATCCCCTAAATTGTCTGAAAAACCACTCAAGGAATTTAGCGCGTTAGCCACCGTATGCATTGTCTTCCCCATCGGAGTTTGACAGAAAAATTAGTGAAGTCTCGTATAATCAGAGAAACATAGGATATAGGAACATTTATTTCATGAAGCACAGCACAAACAAAAGTCGCTTCTCGACTTGCAACCAACACTGGAAAAGGGACAATTAGAAAACATAAGTACTTTCTTAATACTTGTGTCTTGAACTCGTCGAACCAGATTAGGTGTTGGTTGTCGCAATAGATCCTCCGTGAACATATAAAATATACAAAGGCTATACATGAAAGACTGCTCATATACCCAAATTATGGGAAACAAAGATTCACAAAAACTATCAAAAGAAAGTACCTAAATATTTACTAGCTCCTTTCCTTGACAGTAACATGTCACATAGTCCATGTTTCTTACTTCGTCACAACCACTATGGACCGCTGGCTGATTCAAGGCAATTCAACTCTAGAGACATCAATCTTTCAGCCGAAAGACTACGATGAAGAACGGCAAAAGATGGAACAAGAATAGAATCAAAAAACCGGACCCCCGTCTCTTCAACCGTTAAATGTCCGATTGTTCCTCCATACGGCTGCTAACTATTGGAATGAATCGATGCTCATGGCCAAACTCATGGCGAGATCTTGAAGAACTCGTAATAATAAACAAGCATATGAAGATCTTAAAAACATGCAATGCCTCATTGTCGGAACGTAGAATTCAAAGGAGACATTGACGCAGCTGTTTTCAAACAGGTTTCGTTAACAAATGAAGGATGAGTAGAGGGTCATGACTAGAGTTAAGGATCCAAAGATGACTGCTACCATTTACTTTGTTCTACTCACAGATTTCCAAAAGATACA